ACACACACACACACACACACACACACACACACACACACACACACACACACACACACACACGCACACCGCACGTGCACGCACGCGCGCGCGCGCGCAGAACAAATAGAAACGAACGGCCATTCGCGTATCAGCTTGCACGCTAACTAGCACCGACTTAAGATAAATGTCAAGATACCCAACACCCACGGCAAGACATGTCATCCTTAGCTTTGTCTTTTTGCTCTCTCGCATCTTTCTCCGAATTCTGCATGTTTGCACGCGTCTCCACATCCTATTATACTGCGCGTTTTTATGGCTTCCTTTCATGGTTATGACATCGTATATTACTTCACTCGTTATATTAGCACATTGTATTAGTGCGTTGTCTTAGCACATCATCTTTGCTCACCATCTTACCTCACTGTCTTATGCGATTGTCTTAGCACATTGTCTTGGTGCATTGTCTTATCTCACTGTCTCAGCTCATTGTTCTAACTTACTGTCTTAGCTATTGTATTAGCACATTGCCTTTATCTCACTATCGTAGTTACTATCTTAGCTTATTGTCTTATTTAATTGCCTATCGCTAACTGCCTTAGTCAAGTGTCCTAGCTCACATGCTTAGCTCATTGTCTTAGTTCACTTTCATAGCACATTTTCTAATTCAAAGTCTTAGCTCCATGTCTTAGCTCACTATCTACTATCTTACGTCAATTGTCTTAGCACTCTGCTTTAGCTCACTGTCTATCTCACTAGCTCACTCCTAACCCCATCCATCGTATTAGCATGTATTAACCCACCTTGTCTTAAATCGACACGTAATAAACGGTAACCGGCTACGACACCGCAGTTAATTACTGCTAAGTGTGTGGCGCTAGTCCGACCACTAATGCAATAATGCTGGTTTAGTAAATTACGCTGTTTTGGGTTTCATTTTACATCAATTAACGTTGCGAGCTAATAGCGGAAAAATCAATGCAGCTGGCGGAAGATGAACTGGAACCGCTGCGCACTTTCGCGTAGCTTTTTTAAGTTTGTTAAATATTCATAATTATCATCAATATTCGGAACAATTATTTTGCTAAAGGATGCATTACGTCGTTAATAAAACATGCACATTCGGAATGGCCTGTTTGCGTGTATTCCCCCCTCCCCCTCGCTCCCCCGCGAGGAGTATATTTCATTAAACCACCCACACAATTCCAGGCACTTACACCCTGCGATAACATCACGTGGCCATGTACACAGACATTCAGGAACGCGTACCCACGCGCACACGCACGCGCGCATACGCACACACACACGCCTGCAACTCAATATACGCGCAAAAACAATAGGCGGATGCACTTAAAGAGGGGTTGTCATCATCTTACTACTGCAGTAAATTAGTATTTAGAAAAACAAAAACATGAAGGCAAAAGAAAGACTAACGCCACATTACGAGCATAGATCAGAGGTTTCGCCATGTCGCAGGTGGTCGCAACGCGTTAGTCTGCAGCAGGACATAAATTCAAACTAACCACAACTCTATCGCGTTGGAGGTTGCTCGCACGCACGCTGCCTTTATTCCGGTAGTATTGTAACCGAGAGAGAGAGAGAGAGAGAGCGAGCGAGAGAGAGAGAGAGAGAGAGAGAGAGAGAGAGAGAGAGAGAGAGAGAGAGAGAGAGAGAGAGAGAGAGAGAGAGAGAGAGAGAGAGAGAGAGAGAGAGAGAGAGAGAGAGAGAGAGAGAGAGAGAGAGAGAGAG